AAATACCAACAAGCTGTCTGGATGATGGCCCAGGCACCTCTAGCAGGGTAGGGCACAGGCAGAACTAACCACTCACCCAAGACATTTTTCCAGATGTCCCCTACTGTCTTACATAGGGTTTTACTGCACATACACCAGGCTGCTGGAATACAGACTTAATGACACCACTATTAGCTCTCTCCTTGCCTAGACAGAACTCTTAATTTGAGTAATCGATCTGCAGCATTCATCTTGGAAGCCCCACAAGATATTATGATGAGAGGAAAGAAGCTAACAAGATGTACACAGCCCAGTGGTTTGCATCTTGTGCTTGCTACCAGTGTAGCCAGTCACTTGAATAAACTCAGGGCACCAGAGGAGTAATTAGCACTGCCCTGAGCTGATGCCCTTCTCACCCTTAAAAGGAGCTTTTCAAATGTTCAGAAACTGGACCGGCCAGTTTCCACACATATTTTATAGATCAGCAAAGCAGAAAAACCTCCACTGGGTTTCCAGAACGAATCCAAATTACCAAAACAAGGAAGAATATTATCTACGGAAAAACCTCCACTGGGTTTCCAGAACGAATCAAATTACCAAAACAAGGAAGAACATTATCTACACACGGTATCTGCAGCAGGATCGATCAAAACGCATTACAGCAACATCAGTACCATTCGTCTCACCAGGCATTGCAGGCATTTTTCTACATGTGCATTCTGCTTTCCCTTTCTTAACTGAGTTTGACAGTTCTGATCAGATCCTGGAAAAATCCACTTGGCTTTGTTATTAAAGCCTATGGAAGGTTTCCATGAGGGTCTTCAGCAAGGAGGCGTACCCTAGTGTTGTGCTTCCACACCAAGTTTCTCCTTTTTTGGCCACCTTTATGCTGAAACAGCTTTCTCTGGCCAGACTGAAACTGCAGGTAAATGAGCATCACTGACCGATATAGGAGAGGCTAATAAAATGCAAAGAAACAATGTTCAATTACATGTGGGATGCAGATGAAAACAGGAAACAAACTGAAATGGAATTTTTTTTTCAAATACTTCATGAACCTCTGCTCCCAACTGAATTCTTAATGGTTTCTTAACCCAAAGGTCCTCCCACTCCAGCACTCTTCCAGCACTGTGGACGGAAAAGCATTTGGAAGAACTCCAAAACCCACACCAATTGCTTCAATTAAAAAAAAAAAGGCAAATACAACCACAAAAATACTTCCTCTTTGTCAAGTTGAAAGCACAGGACTAAAGCAGCCCAGGTAAGTATTCAAACACTCAAAGATCTCACTTTAGGAAGTCATTTACTCAGTCCGTTTACCAAGACAGGGCTCTGGACAGGGAAGCACAAAGCTATGCTAGGCTTGTCAGAGCCATGAAAGTGTAAACTGAAATCCTTTGACACAGATCACGTCTAACAAATGGACTAACGCTGCTGCTGAGCAGAATTAGTTATTGACCCCTTTAAGACTGCAATATTTTAGAACAAGACAGGCCCATGCCAAAGAGAGAGAGAGGAAAAAAAAGCTTTTCTACAGAGATGTCTTACTTCTGCTTTAGTAATGCCATGTGTCAGAGTTGTTTAGGCTTTTCCATAGTATCCAAGTACACTCAATTGAAGACCATAATATGAGTTAGAACAAACCTAAAAATAGCTACTGTACTGAGACTACTCACTGCCTTGAAAAGAACTGAACTCTCCTACCTTTTCTACCAAGCTTGTCTTATATCTTCGCTTGCTAGGTTAACCACAGCTCTATGGACAGATTTCTCTCTACATTTCAGAAAGTGGTTAAACCCTCTTCATTTAATTAAAGGAATTATGCTATACAATAACATGTCTTTCTACCTATTGACCCTCTGCCGATACAGAAAAGCTGCATTTGTCTTCAGCCATTAAATCCAATGGTGAATTTTATTAGTGACCTACTGTAACTCCAAACTTTCTGATCCAGTATTTTGAAACAGAAGCACAGTGTTTCACAGTACTTTGAGACTGCCCTCATTCCCATTTTGAGGATCCATGGCACCGTCCAGTTCAGGAACCAAATCAATCAATCATGACAGTGTATCACACAGTCTCCACAAAGAACTACAAATAACTTGCCGCTGGATGCAAATGTGCTATTTATAGGTACTGTGAACCAGCTGATAGCCTGCTGGATAAAATCATCCCCTAATTTTAAGAACATGTTGGAAAACTAAAAATTTGACTTTATTAGCTCAATACGTACCAAACAAGTCCATTAGAGGTCTCATGACAGTTATCAACAACATACCTCAAAGCCACTTGTGTTAAGCTGTATCACTGGCAGCAGATTAAGGCTTATTCCAGTGTTACTTCAAATTAACACCAATAAAAGCAACTTGTCCCATTTGCCTTTCCCAGACATGAAGCACAGCATTCCATTTGGCTGTACTACCCCTACTTCTCCAACATTTAATACCTCTACCTCCTTTACCAAGTCTTAAGCTCAGCCTACTCCTCACCTGCCCATTTAAAACAAAAAAAAACAAGATGAGCATCTAGACAGGGGAACCAGGCAGCGTTTTGTTAATAAAATGGAGAAATACTAAAGACACATAGAACAGTATTTGAGGAAGTGCAGTTTGGTTTTGTAGGCAGCTTCAAGTCTACTAACTTCTTCTACAAAGAATCAACAAATGTAGATTAAATGGCCTACTTCATATACAACAGATTTTCCCAAAACTACGCAAGCTAGTAGACTACAGGGGAAAGGACTGGGTAAGGATAAGTAGCAGGTAGTCTGTTTTCATAGTGGAGGAAGCTACCATAAATTACTCTAATACCTGTTATGTTCAACATCGATAAAGATGTTCAGGTTAGCAAGGCAACAATGCCAGGATTATAAAGTTATTCAAGCAGTCAAAAGCAAGTCTTATTACAAAGACCAGAAGTGTCTTACAATACTGAAATATCACCTACTGTTTCACTGCCCGTTTCTTATCCACGCATGCATTGCACTAACCAGAGGGGAAAACCCTGGATCAGGACATGCAATGATGCACACCAACCTAGTTACCACTGCTGATGAAAGATACTCAAGTCATTGTCATTACTACACTGAGAACAGGGCAGTGCTCAATGTTAGAACAGAGCCAACCGCAGAAAGGATCAGGAGCAAACAGAAAATATTCTGCTGTTATGAGCCATACTACATCCACTACATGACTAGTAAGAGTGGCAACAAGCAGTCCACCTGAAAAAGGATACTTATGAACCAGAAACCATGATAATGGGCAACGAGGATGGAAAAGATCTCAAATAGCTTGGATTCCAAAGAAGTACAAAGAAAAAAGCATGGCTGGGAACAGTACTCAAGGCAAGCTATGAGTTCATGCCATACCCAAAGCTAAAAGCCAGCTTTAATTTTACAGCAGACCAGAGATCTCAAAATCATGAACTTGTTAGAACTAGATAGAGTTAAGCTTACTAAACTTGACGTAGATTTGATCCTAGATTTGAGACAGACACAGACTACCAGTGTCCACATTGCTTCTCTCCCATTACCACTTAGGTACAAGTGGTTAGTAATCCTTTCATCACACCTGACTTTCATTGTTGCAAGCAGGATTGACCTTGTGTGCTACAAACAACTGCAGAGTTGCACAATACACACACAGAAGGGGAAATTTTCTAATTTTCTTATATTTATCATTATATAATATTAATTATATATTATAATTATATAATATTTTCTTATTTTCTTTCTTACTTAGCTCAAGTACTTTACACCTTTGAATATTTTAAAAGGCATCTGAAGGGTACTTTTTTTAATATAAAACCATACAATTGCTGCACACAAAACCGTTCAAAATACCTGTCTAGGCATAATGTATTGCACTAATCTTTAACTAGCCCTATCCAAATCAGGCCAATAAGAATTCATTAAAAAACTAGCCAAACCAGAAAAACTGTACACTAAGGAAAATTAAAAAAATCAAGTACACAAGGTCAGTGTAAACATGTTCTTTAATATCACTGAATTTAGAAATCCAAGTCTTAGGTGGGTTTCAAATAAATAATCATTTTGCTTTAGAGTTTACATATAAAGGGAGCTCTCAAAGCAGCAGTGCACAGTTTAACTCCTCCCTGCTAACACATCCCCAGCACGAGAATGTACAGTAGGTAGTGCACACCGGAAAAAACAATCACAACATACGGCACACTTGCCATCTTCAATGAAACCACCAAATATGATGTTGAAAAGGGGGGCAGGGGGAGAAGCAAATGAAGGCATGCACTGCCCTTTAAAGCACCACTATTTTCCCACAGCCTTTTTACCAGCATAATACAAATAAGAAGCCTGGGAATACAAGGCATCTTTCTGCTTCTAAAATCCACTCTCAACTCAAAGATTAACACAGCAGTGCTCTGATAAAGAAAACATATTCCTCAATCTGACGTTGCAGCATAACATATCATCCCCATCCCAATTGGTCTCTATTCAGGGACACCTCCTCTAATTTTTAAATGCCTCTCCAATAACTGCAGAGGTAATCCAGAAAGCTTAAAGACATGTAAGAGTTGTTGTCTCTTGTAAATCCTGGCCAAGTATACTGAAAAGAACCAAGACATGACAGGCCTCAAGAAGGTGTATGGTCACCCAGCAAAATACCTGGTGTCCTATGTTACTCAAAAACTTCCAAAAGTAAAAATTCTTCCTCAAAGTGAAGATTTGCCTTTCTTAAACAACTCCAATTTTTCTGCTGTAAAAATATGCCCAATGTGAAATTTCTCACATCAAAACAAGAACATTTAACAACCCAGAAAGACAAACAAGAAAAATGATCAATTATAAATATGCCACAAACATACTTGCAGAAGAGTTACTGTAAATTCTTTTAAGTTACTGTTCCATCAAAATATTTTCCCTCTGCAGATACAGGTAGGGCAGTCTTCCACTCTTTGTACTTTAATTCCACAGGCAATTGATCTGTGATAAGCACTGCAATACTCACCATAGAAGCACAGAGCCTACTAGCATAAATTCCTCACAGTTAACCTGCTTCATTACTCTTCTCTTCTTCATTTCTAATATACCTGAAAAGTTCTGCCTCTCTACTATGAGTCAATAAAAAAACCCAACTTACTATGTAATACTGCTGTGTACCTACTGAATAAATATTACAGGAGTTAAAGGACTGTTTCAATTGCTAGCTTGGCTTTGGCAAAACACAAATCAGGATAACATACGCTATACACTTCACACATTTGAGCAGGGGGTGCTGCAACATTTAACAGATACAAAATGAAATAAATCTTAGATTTCTAGAACTGTCAGTACACAGGATTCCCAAGTTGTTCTGAATACAGGAGCAGGGCAATCAATTTTCAAGGAAAGCCACATAGTCAGTCAATCTGGCCAACTGCTGTTCATTTGGAATTGGTGGAACCGGAGCAGGTTCTACAAAAATAAAAAAATGCATCATTAATGATATTAAGAAAGCAAATCCGTCTGCAATACCACCCATCACAACAGTAAGGGAAAAGTTAAATGCATCAAGACTGTTAAACAGTCTTACAGGGGCATATCTTAACTGTATCTCCTACCTATGCAGCTTTTAGCTGACATTACTTTTCTGTTATCAGCAACATTAAGTAGTCCAAGAGTTAGTAACAACAAAGACAGCTGTAACAAGTTCCAGTTGTCAGCAGTCTCCTTTTTTTTTGCATATACTGAAGTCTGACTAACAAAGACTGACAGTACTTCCACTTGACAAAAAGTGTCCTGGAGCTCTGCGGTTACTCCTTCCCTTACAAGTTGCCTTACTGAAAAAACCAAATAAACCTACTGGGTTATCTGACTCACAAAACACACCAAAGTATGCATGGGTGGCAAGAGAATGCAATGCACATGCAGATCCTTATATAGACGCCAGCTAACCTGAGATTAGAGTTTAACAATAGATTGGAAGACAAGTGGCTAAAGGCAGGGAGATAAATTCGGAATTAAAAATCAGAAATAAAAAACAGCAGGAAAATTTGCATTTACTCTCCCTGAAGAGCTCACAGACTAGCATTCAGGATATAATTAAAGTAGACATACTGCTCAGGGCTGCAAGTATGAGAGAGGGGAGGCTGACAATCAGAAGAATGTTTTCAAAAAGCAAGACTCCAGCTCTTGAAATTGGCTTGGAATTAAACCTGTAGATTTAAGACACTTCTGGCAACTATGTTTGACCCAGCAAGCCACCAATTCATATCTGCTGTCACTGTCTTATGAACAATAGAGACAACAGTGTTTTGAGAATCAGCATGACATAACATATTACACCTCAACCTACAGTTGAGCTCTGAGGAAAACCAGAAGACTGCTTTCTTCTACAGGGAAGACTTCAGAAGTCCCACATCACACAAAAGCAACAAAACCTACTCAGAGGTGCTTTGTGAAGAATTTGCCTGCAAGTCAGAAGTTTTCACCAAAATCCTTTTTGTTTTACAGGGGCTGCCTACCCCTGCTTTGGACTCTGTTCCCTTCTTCAGCTATGGCAGCAGGAATCTCAGGCACTCCTCAAAATATGAGGGGAAAGAGAAGACAGAGGGAGAAACATGTTTGCATAGCACCCAACTGGGCTTTGTTGGGTTTTCTTTTTTTTTTTTGAGGGGGGAACGATGACATCCATTTGTCTAAGACCCAATTCCTATTTTGTGATGCTGGTGAAACTGTGTTTACATTAATCATGCAAGTAGATTACATATAAACAGGAAGTACCTGATGAAGGAATAAATCTGTTAAAGGAAGCTTCCAGCACACCTGAAGAAAAACACAGTAGAAGTTAGCCCAGTGGACCCATTTTTAAACAGTTCTATACATCAAGCCAAAACTGGGAAAAGGTAATTGAAATTAAACCTATTTGCTTGTTTTACTTCATAGCCCAAAAGCAGAATACCCAAGGCTTAGCTGGTTAGACATGCAGCTTCAAAATAGACACCAGTCCCCTGCCTCTTTCTTTGGTCTCTGAAACAGCTCTTGCACTCACTTTTGGAAAAGAACCACATGTAACTAACTCTCAGTCCTTGTAAGCACTGCATATGTTGCAACCAGTTCATGAAAAAACTGATCACATGCAAAAACTGAAGTTAACTCTCGTTAGTTTTATGCCCCGAGGGATAAATTTCAACACCTTGCCTGGCACATGTTTACTGTAATGTTCTGCGCTCTGAACGCCTAAAAATTCTGCCCAAACCATGTTTTTTCTTAGATGTTACCCTTCTAGATATGCTATGATTTTGCTCCTGCCAGAGCTGTACTGTGCAGTTTAAGAGCAGTCATTTCATCTCTACCTTCATAGCTTAACATTTATTTTTGCCTCAGCCAGCCATAGATATTGCCTTTAGGAAAAAAACACAAGTATTTTTGCAGGCTGATCTTAGCAGGAACAGATATTCTGTTATCAACATCATGACAGTGAAGAAAAGATCCAGTACAGTAAGTTTCAAAAAGCAAAGGAAATTGTACCAACAAGTTGAGCTCCTCAGAACACAACAATCTACTAGATCCCTGCATAAAGAAGTTCTACTTCTTGTGAAAAAAAAAAATCTCAGCTTCAAAATGGTATATTTTACTCATCTTTATTAGATTAAGACATGTCATTTGAGGTCATCCAACTTACGTTCCACTGAGTCAGAGCGAGCACCAGAGGAGGAGCAGGAGAAATCATTGCATATCCTGTCTGCTTTTGTTTAAAAAAGTTAATCTGAGGATATAGTTTAATCCAAACTACTTGTAACCTCAAACCAAACCCACTACTTTGTTCTTCCTACATTTCAGAAACACACCGTGTTCTACAGCAGCATAAGCCACCATAAAAATATCTAAGAGAATATTGTGCAAAATTGTAATTAAAAACTAACACCTAATTACTAGAAAATGCTAAACTCTATGTCTAATGAAATAACAGCTCCACCTACCTGGCTTTTTAGGCATTACCATACGAGTTGAAAAGTCTGCTTGCCAGCCCTGTTCTAACACACCTGAAAAGGCATTTGCACATTTGTAAGAAAAAATACTGTATGGTTGCTGGAAATGCAAAACAAAGATGCACATTAAGACCAGTAGAAAAGCATCTCAGTACACTGCCTATATGCCACAACCCAGACACACTTCTTGTAAGCATTTAGACATTTAGTTGGACAAGTTAAGATCATGAAGGTAGTAACAGCACACAAAACTAGGTTAACCCACTACCTTCAGTCCTCCCTCATGGCTGAATTGCTTTAACGCTTCCAGATGTAGAAGGGGAGGATAATCGATGTTAACTAGTGGCAAACAGTAAAAAACTTAACCAGAACCAAGATATTTATCTCTATTCACTGCCTCATCACTTCTTTGTGACAGTCTCAGAATTTGTACACATTTCTATTGACCATCACTTAACAGCTCTCTGATCTCAATCATCTATAGAAAAACTATTCCATGAATAAATGCAAGGTACCTTTCACAGCTTCTTCTACAGGAAGTCCGACAAAGGCTGCAAAATCATCTGCAACTATTGAGGTATATGCCTGAGAAACCAGTCCAAAGGCTCGTCTCCTAGTTGCATCTAAGAAGAGATAAACGCTGTAAGCAGACAGTAGCCTAATCTCCATAACTAGGAAATCTGAGAAAATTCTTCTAATTCTAATAGATTTGGAAAACCACTACCACCCTTAAAGCTAGCACTTCAAGGTAGAAGTTTCCTCTCCCTTCCCACAACTCACTGAAGTACCACAGCCAGAGCAAGCTGTTGTCTCTGGCTGCTATGCCACGACAAAACCCCTCAGAGAGCACATTTAACTTCCAAATGTAGTTTGCAGTATCTTAAGTACTACCACCAGTATGTAAAGCAATTTAGGAAACTGCTTCCAATGGCACTCTCCATTTGCAATAGCTTGAGTGTCAAGTAGTTCATAATCAGAAAAAATCATTAAAAAGCAATTAGTCAAAACTATTCATGCCTTTTTAACCACATCTACTTTGATACCAAGGCATCTGCAGATCAGTCGCTTCTAAAGCTACAGAGAATTCATTATTGCAAAACACCTTGGAAGGCTTTTTAGCAATCTGTACTGCCCTCTAGTAGTAAGACTTTGCACGTTACTGTTGCACAGTATAGTTAAAACATTTGCCTAAAGCCACATCGAAAAGAAAAACCTTTTCTTAAGTGTCACAAGGCTCTGAAATACCAAGCCAAGTTCCCTAGATTGCTGGTTAAAAGTCTGATAGAACTGGGTAACTAGTGGTCTATTTTGCTATTACAGAACAAAACATCTGGTGTGTGAAGTTTTAATATGAAAGAATATACAACTACACACACAATCCTAAATAACAACAGTCTGTTTCTGCAAGTTTCTGTAGTAAGCGTTTCATTTACACCTGTTACCTAAAATCCTTTAAATAAAACCTAGAAAAACTTGGCAACAATGCTCCTGACTACTTCTGATTTTTCTTAAGTAGTCATTTGTCTACTTGTCTATTTGTGTTTGAGCACACAGAAATAATTTAAGGCCACATAATTCCATGCTACCTAAAGGAGTTCAGTTTGTACCTCTAAGTGCTTCCATAATTGGTTGAACAGTCTCGGACCACTGATGCGCACTGATTGTTGTATAGATTCCTGGAAAGTCTCTCTGCCAGATTCTTTGTCCTACTGACCAAACTGCACCAAGTTCAGCATTTGCCTGTTGTGACAAAAACAAACAAAAAAAACAGTTAACCCAGAATGGTGTCTTCTCTACAGCAACCATTCCATAAAAACCCATTGCCACTCCCCTCCTTTTCCCCTTGTTAAGAGTATATCACAGTAAGGATGAACAGACAAGCATCGGGAAACCTTGTTCTAGTAGGTATCACTGCTCCGAGCTCCCTGGTCCCTCCTCTACCAAAACTTTACCACCCAGAATCACAGAATCATTCAGGCTGAAAAAGACCTTTAAGATCATCAAGTCCAACCATCAACCCAACACCCCCACACCCACTAAACCACGTCCTGAAATGCCATGCCCACTTTTTTGAACACTTCCAGTGATGGTGACTCCACCATCTCCCTGGGCAGCCTGTTACGATGTTTGACCACTCTTTCAGTAAAGACATTTTTTCTAATGTCTAATCTAAAGCAAAGTCTGTCAGAATAGCAACAAACACCAAATTGGGTAATAAAGTAATATTTCCAACTGTAAGGGAGAATAGATTTGTTTCTGAAGTTAAGACTCGAACTAATCAGAAGATTCATCAACACATACACATAACAAAGTACTACGCTCTGAGGTATAACTTTCCCAAAATAATCCATGCAGTAAGTTTCCCCCACCAGAACGATGCTTCACATGAAATGCAAGTCACACCAAAAAAGCCAGATTGATTATTCACAGAACATCGCTGTGCAACAAATGCAGCAAGTTGCAGAGAAAGTCCAAGTAAAATTTGGTCCAGATGACTTGAGTCAACTGATGTAATTACTCTTTTCTCTTGAAGGCAAAAGAAAATTATTTCAGAACCACCTGACAGCTCCCATCTTGACCATGAGGTTTCTTAATACAAGACTATAGAATGCTTGTTTCCTTGTAAAATATATGATCTCAAACCAAGAAATTAACAACAGTAAAGTCTGGAAGCATTTCTGGTATGCTATTTACCTAGAACCTCAAAATGCAGCTTTGATCCAAATGCAGTGCAAAACAAATTGCCGTCAGAAAGTTAATCAGTTTGTAGATGCATCTTACCTGAAGTCATTTTTCACTGCACAAAGGATTCTGCACCCTCATATGGAATGCTGCCCCATCCCAGAGTCAGATCCATTCTTTTCCTCCAGCTGACTACCCTTTATCAGGAGGTTTTCGGCTAAAAAGTCCACAGTTTTACCGAATTCTACTGCACCAGGTTATTTGGGAAGGGAAACGGGTAACCCATGCACAGCTAGGAGATCTTAAAGACCAGCAGGCCATCTGCTGGGCAAGCAGTTCACAGCACAGAACCAAACAGAATCCATTCTTTTGCAAGCTTATGTCTAACTGGTTTAGTATCAAATGGTATTTTACAAAGTACTTACAGATTTGATAGCAGGAGGGATTCTTTTCCAAAGATACCGTGCATTATTCCTAAAAAAAATTGAATTAAAAATAATTCTCAGTAACCAAATACTTGCTACAAGGAGATACCAAAAGCTTTGCCGAGATGCTATAATTAACACAGTCTCAGTGCTTTAGAATATTCCTTCTATGTCTACTTCTAACAAAGTTACCCTCAACTACCATCATGACTGCCACAATACAACAAATAGTTCATCAACTGCCTCATTTAACACCAGCTTAGAAAAGGTTTTTCTTTCCTCTATCCTAGGCAGCATTTCACAGAAGTTCGTTTTGCAGTTTTATTTTTGGAATAGCTGCATCTTTGATGAACACATGTAAAATAGTACGTTTTCACAGTGTCAGTAGTCATTTAGACCAGTGGTGTCCAAACATTGATCATGCACTTCAGCAAAAAAACCACATTTGAGCATGCACCCCCAGTATATGCATTTGTATTTATATTATATACATGTACTACTGTATTATGTACATTATAAAGCATACAAATATAGAAGGTACAAAGCATGAAATAAACACCATTTAAAGACTTTTTTATTTTACTTAATAGTACAAAAATACTTTCTTCATATGCCCACACCCCATTTTGCATACCAAAGATTTAGACTGCTTTGTGCGTGTTCTTCCCAACCCAGCTTTGTCACATGCATTCTGGAGACTTGGACATATTGAAACATTTAGTCATTTAGCCTTGAAAAGCTACAAATCAAGACATTGAGGTGTTCAACACTTTCCAAAGGAGTCAATTTCACTATCTCAGGAACTTTCTTTCCCTACAGTTCAAAAGGGTGGGCAAAAGCAAACAGATGAGAATACTCTTCCACCTCTTGCTCAGTCAGGAAGTTCTGTGAATTTTTTTAATTTAAAAAGACAGCACTGCCTACATGGATTTTGTTGTTTGTCACACAATCAATAATTGATATTCTGGCAACTAGAGCTCAAGCCAATAGTGACAAATTCAGTATGTGAAGTTAGAGATTAAATCAAGCTACTTACATGTCATTATGCAACAGGTATAAAGCTAGAAGTTGGCCGTAAACAAGGGGTGTTGCAATTCCTCCAGGGGCCTAAAACACAAGTACACATAATTTGTTTACATATTTCAAGAACAAGATATCTTACAAAATACACCAAGTAGCCAAGTTTAACGAAATCTGAACATTCCAAAACAGTGTTTTTCACACCACACAATAGGTCTGGACAGATTGTCACAGTCCCAGGGCGATGAAGAGTTAACTTGCACATGCCAGAAGTTTTACTCAGAAAATTTAGTTTGTTTTGCTGCATGAATAAAGCCAGGTTACATCCTTCTAACGTTCTAGCTTATGCTCATGAAAGGGGTAACCATCTCGCTTTACAGTTCCACACAAACAGCTGTTTCCAGGCACTCACGATACCATCTATCTTGAGCCGACCTTCAGTTCAATTCAGGGCACTCCACCAGAGTAAAGTTTCTTTGCTCCCTTGAACTGCCCTTTTAAAAATCCAAACTACGCTTTGACACTTGCCACATTTCAGCAGACATCACAAATCATACAAGTAGAAAAAAAATGAATTACAATGAAGTTATAAAATTTTGAAAGTCTATAATAAAAGCTGAAATTTCTAAAACCTTATTGGAAATCTTTTATCAAAGGGTAGTGCAGCAAGCACTCACAGGAAGCCAGTTATGCAGCTACTTGATTTAACTACATGTGATTTATAGGCTCATCTAAGCCAAAAGCAGGTGATTAGCTGTGTCATCAAGCAGATATCATCATCCCCAGCCATTCTTACACTGTTTCCAGGGCTCATCACCTACGTACAAATACAACAGCTTCTGCAACTGTTCCTTGGATTACAGACAGTAAAACAAAGCCAGGTCAATTAATACCACCTTTTTGAATGGTATATATTCACCTTTGGTGCCCCTCTGTACTAAAAAAGAAAATTCATTAGTTTCTCTGCCAGGAGACTAGTGGAACAGAAGGGAAAGCTAACTACTACCAGAACAACTAGATTTACGATCTACAGTCTTACTGAAGGAAGCACTGTGGCTGCATCTAGTCTGCAAAAAAAACAGCCTACATATCAACTCATGATCTGAAACACGAAGGTTGCCAGCAGACATTAGTGCTCCTGCAAGAATATTGATGCGGATGGAGACATGCACAACAAATAACTTACTGGCTTTGTCAAACATTTGGGAATAGTTTGCCAGGGGTGCATCTGTTGCCATTTACTCTAGGAGACTCTGCTGACAGACATAGCAGAAGCCTTGAGCAGAGCACAGTCTAAGTTCAGTGGCTTTGTAACAGCTCCCAGGGAGCCACTAAGGTCCAACACCACATGCTCGGCAGCGGGGAAGTGAAGAGAGTGTGCTGAACCTCCTCAAATGGCCGCAGAAGCAAAACCCAAAGCCTGCTGGGTTCCGCCCCTGTCACTCAGAATTCTATCCTCGCATTACTCTGCAGAGGCCAAAGAGGCAGCCAAAGCCATTGCAAGTCAGGTTCAAACAGACTGGCCAAACCAAGTACCACGCAGTGTTTTGAAGGCTTGTCAATCTGAATGGGAATCAAAAGGCAACTCCATTTACAGAAAGGCATTCCCTAATGGGAAGCCATTCAGTGACTGTTAACACATGCTGTGGACTCATAACCCTAACCTTATAAACCTAAGGTTTATAACCCCTAAACCTATATCCCTCTACACACACCTCAGCAGTAAGTGCTGTACACATGCACTCCTCTAACAGATGGGAATACACCTTCAGAGCAAATATAAACAGCTGCCAGCAGGAAGGGCTACTCACACTCAACTCTCCCACATGGTACAAGACCACTCTTCTGCTTCTCTGTGCTCACATGCCCATCACTTGAGGCAGCAGGTAGCTCATATTTTCAGCACAACAATCCCCCTCCAGCTCCACAACACTCTTCTACAGAACTCAGGGCATACCAAAAAGCTGCAGCACCATGCTGAGAACATGAGAGGCACCTGGGCCCAGCACTGAAATAGGGCACAGAAACCTCAGCTGAAGCTTGATGATGCACACCCATAAGCAGGGAGCCATTCCATTTACGGATTATGTCTTCCACTACAAAGCTGTGTGGTTTGTCAACACCAAAGTTCTGCTGTGGCAAGTGATCGCACACTGGAACAGCTCTCTCCTTTCAATCGCTAGGGCACCAAGACTAAATATCGCATGAAAGAGGAAAACTCAATTTTTTTCTCTTTCAAATCGCTACGGTGGGATGCAGGAACTTCACATTTAGAAGAGCGCTGGAAGCTGTGCCAGACAAGAAATGGTCTGTGGATATCACCTGGTGAAGAGCTTTCAGCATTAACACAGTGCCACTCGGATTTACCGCAGGCACGAGCCTGGCACACTAACAGTGCACGCAGTCAGATCTGAACACTCATCGAGCAATAGCATTTAAAACAGCACAGAGGACGTTTCCAGTGTGAGCTCCCACAACAAGCACACCGCTGATCTAAGAGTAATTCAGCCCTCTACTCCCCTTTCCAATACCTTCTGCTTCTCAAATTCGTAAGACACATGGAGGCATACGAACTGATCTCTCTCTCACAACGTCTCCGTCCCCCCCTCCCCCCGCAAAGACCCTAACATTTATACCAAAATGCTCTCGTTTATTGGTCTGCAGCTTCACAAGCTTCTGAACAGCTTTTGGGCGGGCTTTTACACAAACGGCAAGTTTAAGCACCCTCACCAAGCCCCCAAACACACACAGAGGCAAAGGGACACCAACAACCTTCCTTGTAGGACCAGATCAGGCCCTCGCAACAGCACTTTCAGGCAACAGCCTCTCGCCCACACCGCACCGGCAGGAAACGCTTGTGCCCAAGCCCACCAGCGCTGCAGAGCGGCACCGAGCCCCGAAGCCTC